GGGCACTGCGGTCCCTGGGGTGGGGTGCTGCTGGCGGGCACTGCGGTCCCTGGGGTGGGGTGCCGCTGAGATGTACTTCTTCCTCCCTGGCCTAAACAGTACACTGAGCATAGGCGTCAGCAGGTGTTACAGACACAGCTCTGCCTTTACGGACAGTAAACTGCACCGCAGAGAAAATTCCCATCTCTGTCCCAAATATACCTCCTCCCCTATTCCTTGGGGTCCTTGTTCGGACACAGTGTAATCACCATCCACTGAGGACAGTGGGCAAGGGTGAGCCCTCCTCTGCACAGTTTTAAGTTACATGGTGGTCTTGGGAAGTAACACAATTCCGGGCCTATTGGGAAAAGCTGAAATACATGCATCGTGCGTATTCAGGGGTCTGGATGCAAACAGGAGCACGTCCCTAAGTTCTGTGGACTGAAGACACTACCTCTCTTGTCATGAGGCTCAGGGTCTCCTCTGGAAACTGCTCTATGATCTGCAGGAGCCTGGGGAACCTCAGCCGGGCCTCCTCGGAGTGCAGCCTGAGAGCCTTCAGCATCCCGTCCACCACGAGGGCCGGGTACGTCTGCAGCTCCTCAGACTCGGTGACTGACACGGGAGGGATGGGAACAGTCAGTACATCCACGAACACAAATTATACATTTAACGCGCAATTCTAGGCTCCCCTTCTGGCTTATGTTTTGTGGAATGTCATTGTTTCTTGTTGGTTTTCCCTCTAACAACTACTTTAAATCAACAAACAGCAGAAGCAGTTTTGGACAATATGGAAAAGTTTCTATCTCGAAGCTGAGCTTTCCTGCTGAGTTACCCAACCTGCAGAGGCAGTTTGCTTTCTGGGCTGGGAACACAGGGCAGCCGCTGGCTACTGAAGTTATCCCAGGAGCAGGAGTCAGAATACAGAGCTGAGAACACCAAAGCCACCAGCAGAAAATGAAAGTGTAGCCTGGCTGGTGTGGCTCAGCGGTTGAGCACTGACCCATGAACCAGGAGATCACGGTTCGATTCCTGGTCAGGGCGCATGCCCGGGTTTCGGGCTCGATCCCCAGTAGGGGGCGTGCAGGAGGCAGCCGGTCACTGATGTTTCTATCTCTCCCTCTCCCTTCCTCTGTTTTTGAAATCAACAAAAACATATTTATAAAGAGAGAAAAAGACATACCAATCCCAATCCCACTCAGTATTTAAAAAAAAAAAAAGTGTAAAAGAAATGAATGGAAAGACAGAAGACAGCGTGGCTCCAGGACAGAAGCTAAGCAGGCCGTGCTGCCTGGAGATGTCATTCCTTCTCAGAGAGGCAAGACTTTTCTCACTTAAAACCAACACACAAATAGGAAACCAAGAGCGTGTACGGAATTCTCAACATTTCACATTCACATGAAGTGACGCAGCTTCTTTTTCTCTTGTGACTCACCTGACGCAGACTCTTCCTGCTTGCGCAGCTGCTGGTCACAGAAAACCACCAGCGTCATGTGGGCATCGGCCACCCCGGCTGCGGGCTGCTGGTCCCCACTGGAAGGCCCGGCTCCCCCCTCGGCTACCCGCACGGCCTCCGACAGGTAACAAAATGCTCTCTGGTACAGCCCCGCGGCCACCTGGAACGCAGAGGGCCCAGAACACCTGTCTGTGTGACCGAAGCTTTGGGAAAACTCTGTTTTCTACTTGTGATGATCAAGGAAGACTACCTGCGGTCCATTAGTCATAAAGTGACAGATGGAGAAAGCTGGCCATGTGGGAAGGGACAGTCTGCCCTGACTCTGATAGAGTGAGGTCCTGAGCGTATAAAATACAACCAACCAAAGACGAGTAAGCCAGGTGTGGGCCGGGCGGTCTGCGGTCACACAGAGCAGGCACCCAAGTCCCTGTGGGTCATGCAGCCTGTCGGGAACTTAGAGAGATGGGGGTTGGCGCCTCGGGGCCCATGCCCTACGTAGGCGTTGGTGACACTGTGGGGGAAGAAGGCGAAGCTGCACAACTACAGGGAGGTGGGTCACGGTGAGATGACCAAAAGTGCTCCTTAGTGACAGGAATTCTGTTCAGCAAAGTTTCAGGTGGTTCAGATGATCCTTCTGTCACTGAGCTGTAATTACGATGTGACCATGGTGGGGGCAAGCCCACCGCCCTGACTCTGCCCTCTCCCCATCATTTCTCTCACGAAGCTGAAGGTTGCACATTAAGGATGCACAACATGCAGATGTGAAAAGCTCATGCTCGCAATAAACATTACCTTTTCCACATTCTCCGAGCTGGATCCAGAAAGTTCCAAGATTCTTCGGGCCTTGCTCTCCTCAATCTCAGCAAGGCAGCTCGGCTCGCTGCTGAGAGCGTTCGCCATGATGCGGTAAGTCGTGCCCAAGAGCACGTTGCGGTCACGGAGACCCAAAGGGTTAGTGCTTGAGTAGCTTGGAGTGTTCTCACCTGCTGGATTAAAACACAACAAAAACCACACACACAGGCTCACATGAGATTTCTTTCAGAAGTAAATGAATATCATAAATTAAAAAAAAAAAAAAGAAAGAAAGAAATTCGCAGTGTCTAAGTTGTTTTCTATTAAGGAATTAACTAAAATAAATCTTGATGTGATAAGACACTACTTCAGACACTGGTCAGGGGTCTTGAACCAACACGAGCAGTGACCGTATCTGAACACACAGAGGCTGAACATTTAAAACACGGACTGACTTTCATTCAAGTGTCATCGTTCTGTGTTTCCTCCCTGAGTCTTAAAAGTTATACAGTTATGAAAAGAGAAAACCTGAGGGAGAGAAAAGCTTTTTATGTCTTCATTTTTTTCACAAGGTAATTCTTATACGTAAACATAAACTTTTCAAAATAATTAAACTATTAGGCTCACTAACTACTAAAAAGAACTTTTACTTTCAATTCTACTTTGTAGACACAGAAACAAAAGCTCCCAGTGTCATGGTCAAGGGCAGCACTAAACTGCAAAGTATCTTTGGCCCCAACTAGCTAACAAAATCACCAAGGCTTAATTCCCAAATGCCAGATGAAGCAACACAAATCATCATTTCAGAAGACGCAGAGATATGACATGACCCAGCATTCTCAGGCCTGTATAGATAGAGGAGCCTCACACCCAGCAAGGAGACTGTCTTCAGCACGGTCCGGATCTGCTCGGGACAACGCTGGCTCTGGCTCCGGCCGTGGCTGAGCCGACAGTAGCTGTGTACCCATCGCGCCAGCCAGTCCGCTCTGGTCTTTGACTCTTTGTGCAGGTCCTTCAGGAGTTTCATGGCAAGGGAGAAATTGTTCTGTGTAACAGAAGACAGAAAGTAGTACAATGACATAAATGTAATTGTAGAAATAAAAGTGTCTTACAAAAGTTTTTGGTTAATCAGCCTGGTTTCCTTTATGCATGACCCAATTCACCTTCGGGCAGCTAATCCATCTCCTTAGCTTAAATTAAATGTCTTTTTACTTACCATGTGGATATAATTCACATGTATTGTATGCAATTCAGTGTCTTTTATTTACTTATTTATTTATTCAGTATGTTTTTATTGATTTCAGAGAGAGGAAGGGAGAGGGAGAGAGAGAGAGAAACATCAATGATGAGAGAGTCACGGATCGGCTGCCTCCTGCGGGCCCCCTACTGGGGATCGAGCCCGCAACCTGGGCATGTGCCCTGACCGGGAATCGAACCGGGGACCTCTCTGTTCCTCGGTCAGTGCTCAGCCCCTGAGCCACGCCGGCCGGGCAAGCACACTTACATATTAAGAAAGAATCTTACTATCAAATGACAGAACTCCACAAACTAACCCTAAATACAGTTTGTAACTAACTGGCAAGCCTTCATTTTGCTGAAGGGGATCAAACCTGATATTAATCTCATTTCCTTTTTCAATAACAGAAAATAATTACTTTGAAATGATTAGCAAGTATAGAAGTAAGAGTTTCTTTAGTTTATTTTCTTACAAAGAGAAACAACTGCTAACTACTGAATTACCTTTAAGATTCAGATTTTAAAGAAAAGCTAAAAAAAAAAAAAAAAAAAAAAAAAA